TGATTTTTAATCCGTAACATTTAAGTAACTGAATGAATAAACATCACCTTAGATTAGTCATATTATTTAATGATTAGTCTCAGGAAATCAGTTCTTAGTTTAAATAAAATGTAATACGAAATATTAAAATCAGATGAACCGAAAGTTAAAACAACTTTCAACTGTAAAGACCATAATGGAATTAACATGAATTGAACGGTGATTATGAGGGTGGTTAACTAGCTTTCAATACGTCTATGATCAAGTTTCACTTAAACTAACATCTTTATAAATAAATACGCTATCTAAATATGGAATGCTTGTTGGATTTCTCAGTATATGTCCTCTATTGAACCTATAAGATTGGTTCAACTTTATTTATGTCTATATTTTTGTTAATATAATTTTTACTACTTATAAGTAGCATCTACCTGCTATGTAAATTTCTTTTAATGGGTTCATGAATATGGGGGTTTATAGAGATTCATTTAATTTTAATGTCAGTGAGCTGTAATCTCTATTCGTCTGTGATAGATCTATCCTCAAATCCCTACCGAAAAGTTGTTGAGCCACTGAAGATCAAATGTACTTGCCAAAATAAAGTTAATTCTAATTTTAAATAAGTTGAGAATTGGGTAGATTGTTATAAATAAATTAATATATTTGTAATATCCCACTGCTTAGAAAAATTAGATTTTCTGACGTTTCGTGACTCAATGCAAGCCGATTTTTCTCTCAATAGGTTATTACTGCATACAGTAGGAGTTGATATAACGGTTGATGCATTATGCTGAATTAAGGAGTTCTAATTTCAGCTGACTGGTAACAAGAGGTTCAGCATTCTAATGTCCTCTTTCAACTGAAAAAAAGTCAAATATGTGATCCACATATTATGGAATGTTGTGTCATTACGGATAACCCTAAATTTCAACACTGATGTCTGAATAATATTCTGACATAAAATAAAATATGTAAAAACTAAGCAGCTTTCATAAAAAACCAAGATAAATAATCAACGTCTGGAAAGCATCGTACTTAAGATTTTCTAAAGGACAACTTGTCAATCATTATCTCATTTCCATCTAAAGAAGTAAATAAGTCTAACTGAGCTGAATAAATGTCATTCATTTATCAGGCTTTTGAAGCTCACTGTGTTCGTGATTGTGAAGATCCAATCACTTTCCATCATTTATATCAGTAGTATATTATTTAAGAAGATATCCACTTAATAATTTTTGCACAGATGTAGATAAATATTCCTTCTTTTCTTCCGTACTAATAATTCATATAAGCTCATTTCAACTAATAACGTACGACTACTAAACTAACACATTTAATGTGTACTACAATATAAACGATGTCAATAACTAATGCTCATCGTTTTTATGGACTTACACATCGCACATAAATATTTAAGTTATCAAAGAACAATGATGAAGTTGATTCTTATCAATAGACAAAGTGATGTAAATATCAATACAATAAATCATCTAATCATAGGTAATATTTAGTACAATTAAAAGCTGACTTCTATTAAAATGTCATGTTACTTGAAATTTTAATGGGTGGCAAGATAACAAAATCAGGTAAAAAGAATATACGTAACAACCAGCTAACTCCGCCTGTAGCACTTCTACAGTTACTGCCGGTCCCAAGCCCGGGTAAAGGAGGAGGGTTGGGCATGGGGTTAGCGACCCGAACTCGTAGAAAAACTAACTCGCTAAAAAAACGCTAACCAGAAAAAAACTATTCAAACCATTTAAACTCTGCCCTCCGAATTGAAGAAATTGTTATGACGCCTCATAATGAGAGCCGAGATTTCTCAGAAAACAAGAGGCCGATGTCCCTTCTAACGACCAACGTAGCAATTTTTATAGGTACATGGAACCTCCGAACAATGTGAGAGACCAAGAAAACGTTAGAAGTGGATATGACATACATTAAGGAAATCACCAAACTGCATCATGAGGCAAGCCCTAATTTGGAATCCGGAAGGGAAGCAGAAAAGAGGAAGGCCAAAAGACACATTACGCTGGAAAATAGAAGGAGATATGAAAAGGATGAATGTCCACTGGAATGAACTGGAAAGGATTGCCCAGGACAGAGTTAGATGGAGAATACCGGTGTGTGGCCCATGCTCCTGCACGAGGGGTAAAAAGCGTAATTAAGTAAGTAACAATCAGTTAGCTGATCTTTATTTTCAAATGATCTTCATGATCTTTATTTGACCATTTAAGTAAATAATCATTTCATTATTTAGTTTTTATTTTATCTAAATATAATCTACAGCTTTATTCTTAACTATTTCAGTAGTACATTTGTTTTACAATCTATAGACAAGTACTGTCGGAACGTTTTCTTTAGATCTATCATTTACTTTTCTCAGGACTTAAAGTCTCATTAAAATATCAATAATCACGGACACTGACCTTCAGGTTATTTGAATTTACTGGGTTTTTTATTATAAATTCTGATAAACAATTCCATCTGTATTAATTTTGAAAATCTTTTCTGGATACACTTCAATCGACTTATGTCATTTTCAGTTTGCTTAATCTTGACGTTTTTGATGATTGGTAAAAAGAAAAACGTATTTGAAGGCTTTATATCATTGTATAACTAATATTTTAGAAATTCTCACATATATTTCAGGATAGACAACAAACTACTGCTTTAATTTACTGGTCATCTAGTATTTCGTCATTAGAATGGTAAAAAGAATTACCAACAAGTTTTATCTGTACTTATAACATCTAAAGTTATAATAGGCAATCAATGTAACTCACAGTGAGGATAACAACTACTTGTCATCTCTAAAACTTTTATGTCTGTCTTATCATCTGATAATATGAATTCATTTCACCCACAAGTAGAAATTAACCTATATGTTTATCATAATAACTACTATTTATACCATAAAGAAACCAGTAACTCTTAACTTTTAAAAGTAAAATATTAAATTTGAATTAACTAGTTTAAGGGATTTATTCAATAAAAATTCCACCTCAGTGGTTGTCTCAAGAGATTTAACTTCAAATCGTCCATGGGGTTTAAACTATTCAAACCTGACTTATCATTAGCAACTGAAGGAGTTATATGATCACATTACTTGTTTATAAGATTGACTAGTAATAAGTGCCAATTAAGTTATACTTTAGTGTAAAAATCTAAAATATCGTTTCTCTTTTAGAAATATCTAAGGGTATCTACTAGGATTAGTTAAACATGTAGAAATCAATTACTTTTATATTTTTAAATGATATCATTGACATTGTCAAACGAGATAAAGCATAATCTAAAACAAGATAGTAAAGATACTGTATATTTAAAAACGCAACGAAAATGGATATTAGTCCATTTAAAAGTGTATGGTATTTTAGACTCGACATATATTCTAATCCATGTTTCTTACCATCTCAAGTCATTGACTCATATGTTTTCTATAAATAAACCTATAACATTGTAATGCTCAACCTTCCTTTAACTTCACTTGCTATTCTATAAAGTGACTAATTCCCTACTTATTCTAGCCAGTTTGAGTTGAGAACGTCAACTAAACAAGTACAATCGTAAAAGCTCAGCTTCCAAAATGAAAACATTATCGATTATATACCCTATACTGAACCACACACATTCAAAACTTAGCAGTATTCATAACCTTCAGAAATATTGATGAATAAATCCCGAAATGCATTATGAAGTTTCAGTCCTTACATGTTTTAGATAATTTAAGAAGCACGATAATAACTAGTGCTTTTAACATTACTTGAAGAAGACTTATATTTCGTTTCTAATCAAGAATAACAACTGTCTATCTCCGTCTCATATCTTTAAAAACAAATGAGAAGTATTATTGTGAACATAGTATGAGTAGTGAATTTCTCAACGAGATTCCTTTAAAACAAAACAATTTTGAAGTACAGTCTTCTGAAATAATTATAGTTTGTTAAGTGTATTTCGAATTAAAAGACTGACTTGTTGGTTAATTCATTGTCTATCTGGTATATTGGATGATGTATTACAATCATTAAGATTTCCGTATTCATTATGTTAACTATAGTTCTATTTCTTCGAAACTTTCACTGTACAATGTCTGTTTGTATAACACTGTTAAATTGATTGTTACGAATGATTACTGATAGGTCTTCTGTCTACTTAATATAAGTTTATTCAATTAATCGGAAAAACTGAACATTTCAACGCTTGTCAACCTCATTTAACACCTTACTTAACATCAACAATTCTTCAAAACTGTGAATATATTCACTTTTATTAGTTCCAACAAAATGAGAAACAAAGATCTAAAATCTACTTCACCTTCTAAAATTAGTACTTTTCAGTCTTATATATCCACTGTTCGATCAAATGTTTTCCTTTAACTCTGTCATTAATATCCTTCAGACTTTCTTTCCATAAATATCCATAAAGAAATTACTTCATTTGAATCTATTTGAATAAGAAAGTTGTAATTTAATCAAAAATCTATATCACAGAAGGGCTTTTGTGGAGATTTCAGTGTTTTCATAGTTGAAATCATGAGTCAATTGAAGCTGGACCACCATGTAAAACCTGGAAGCACTGGACTCATGATTTCAACTATTAAAATACTGAAATCTCCACAAGACCCCTTCTGATAACACTCATATGCTCACTAGTGACTGACTTCAAGGGATATTTCCTGCAGTTCTAGTGAGAAACAGTAATCAGTGGAGTTCAACCAGGTCTGTTGTGAGATATCAACTCATTGAAGACATTGGTGAATGGTTACTCAATTTCGTGGATTGGCTGAAGTTAGACATGAACACAGTTGGATGCTGGCCTGGCTCAATGGTCTAGAGGTTAAGCGCTCGCGCGCAAGGATGATAGGTGCTGGGTTCAAATCTCGTGAGGTGGGATGGTGAATCCACACTGCTGAGGAGTTAGTCCCACAATAGAACGAAACGGCCATCCAGTGCTTCCAGGTTTTCCATGGTGATCTAGATTCAATTGACTCATGATTTCAACTATGAAAAAAATCCATATGATGGATGATATTGTTTATAATTATTTCAATATAAAATGTTACATATCAAAAGTCTATTGAGATAAATGAATGAGATAAAATGAATCTATATTATTCTGTTAGAATCTTTATTCTTGTTCTCTCTTCATAATGAATAAGAGAACGATGTGTATGTAAAGAAAAAATTATTTCTCTCTGTCTCTTTTTTTTTCTCTTTTCAATCAACAACAATCAGTCATATGATGTAAAAAAAAATTATTAAAAAAATTTTGTTTTTCTTTTTAATTTTCACTTCATATGTCAATTAATTTTTTAAAGTCATTTGATTAAAATCTGATTGGATCAACATATTCTATTGATTCATCTGTTGATGTATTACTTTTAGATGATTTCTTTTCATATTCTATATCACTAAGACAATTTGATGATATAACCGTTTCATTTTCTTCAGATATACGATTAGTATTTTTAATACCATATGAGAAATATATTAATAAACCTAAATGAAAAAAAAAGAAAACAATTTTAAACAGAGAAAAAATCAAGCAGATTAATGTACAATAAATGAAATATAAAGTGATATTTTATTTTCAGAAAGGGTTTTGTGGAGATTACAGTGATTTCACAGTTGAAATTATGAGTCAATTGAAGCTAGACCACCATCGAAAACTTGGAAGCACTGGACGGCCGTTTCGTTCTATTGTAATACTGACTCCTTAGCGGTGCGCATTCACGATTCCGCCTTGCCAGATTCCAACTCAGGATTTATCAGTCTCGCGCGTGAGCACTTAATCACTAGACCACTGAGCCGGCCAGCATCCAACAAGCAACCATTTCACCAAGTGTCTTCAGTGATTACTTCTCACTAGAACTCTAGGAAATACCTCATGGATCAGATGATTAGTAATTTGTTCATATGCAGGTATTATAATCATAAACATTATGTGCTAACTGTTAAATTTACGTTTTAGTAACTATGGTTAAAATCAGCAGCTCATATACTTCATATATCACTAAATATTGTTATTTTCACCATAAAAGAAAGTTTAACCATCCAATTACCATAGCAAATTTTTCACAACCGTACCACAAAGATATATACAAACTAAGTGATTAATTCATAGTTGAAAGCGTGAGTCAATTAAAGCTAGACCACCAGGGAAAACCTGGAAGCACTGGACGGCTGTTTCATTCTATTGTGGGACTCCTCAGTGATTAATTCACATTATAAATATCAAATTTTATATACTCATTCACATACAAATGTGTGTACAAAAAGCATAGAATCACTCATGACCTGAATGTCATAACATTAACATGATCAAATCTATTGGTGTGTAGTAAATATTCTATATGATTTGATTTCTATACTAATTCAATTTTTATGAATTTGAAAATTTTGCCTATTCGTTGAACAACTGACTTATTGTTATGTTTGAAGCAATTACAAGTTCACGTAGACTGCGAATGGAATAAAGACTTGTGACTAAAGACCAATAAGCTAGCTCATCTGATGAGTCCCAGGCCCACTAACTAGAGAGAGAAGACGAAGTCCGAACGGGTAATAAATATATTCCGCAAGTAGCCAGAAACACAAGCGATCACAACAGGAACAAATTAAACGTATATATATATATATATATATATATATATAACATAAAACTGTCCTTGGGAAGCGTTACAAAATAGTATACTGAAAGACACAATGGACGAATAGCGTTTAAGATTTTCCAAAATAGGAAATACTTAATGAAGGTGAAAAGAGAGCTTTTGGCGCGAAAACAAAGAAATTCAAAATTTCAAAATAAAATTACAAAAATAAGGTATTCACCAAGTGACGTCTGGGGATCTAACATCCCCAGCACTTATGCTAAGTCTCGAAGTACCATAAATTTAACTTTTAATTCGTCGCATTATCACAAATATATCATAGTTTTACTAATATACAGTGTCCACCATATTTTTAGTTTATTTGAAACGATACTTATAGTGAAACTCAAATGATTATACACTAGCGTTAGCTTCATCATTTCTATGCTTTGGGCTATTTACAAACAAAACAATACAAAACATAATCTATGAAATATAAACAATAGATTATTTATCTCATTCGTATGGGAGTAACTTTCGTTATGAACTGATATCCACTAGACAATTGTTGCATGATAGTTTTAGACAGTCTATGAGATCAAACTTGGGAAGCTTCAACTTTTACCACAAACAAGATAACTACAGATCAGTGAATCATGACTTAACTGTAATTATTGGTAACTTCAGCTGATCTATATTAATCACGATTATCAACCTGAAAATAACATGTGATATATTTGTGGAGTAAAATAATGACAGAAGTAAAAATTTAGCATATGTTGTGGAAAACTTATGTAAATAAAATAAATATTGGATTGAAACTTATATTTGTAGATGCTATTCTATACGATCCGGCAAACCTTCTAATAGAACAGTGAATGGCAGAAGAGATCTTTGCAATTTTATGATAACTTTTATCGATGCTATTGTTGAAAGTAATACCGTACAAAAGTATTATCATGCAACTAGTTCCTGAGAAGTTTAAAGTAAAAACGCTTATGAATTTACAGTAAATCATCTTCCTTTAATCCATAAAATGAATGGTTTACTTATAGAAAATTGCTTCTCCAAATATTATTAGTTGTTCTTTCTGAACAAAAATCTACTAAAGAGACTAACTATGGAAAGCACACAGTCGACGTCCTCAACACTGAGGTTTGTGGCGATTAGTGATTGTCAGTGATATCACAGACTAATTGAAGTTAGACATCCATTAGAAGACAGGAAGTATTGGAGAACCATTTCTTTCTAATATGAGGCTCCCCATCAGTGCCCATCCACCATGTGCTCACCGGTAATTAATTCCGAGAGGTTATTCCAGAATTCTAATATGAATCCGTGGCTAGTACAATTCAAATGCACCAGGTGTCAGACAGCTTCGTATTAAACACAATCATGAGTTGCTTGAAGCTAGATATGCAAACTTGCTCAACAGTCCAGAGTTTAAGTGTTCACATGTGATCAAAAGTCCTGAGCTTTATTCCCTCTTACACGGTCGTAGATGCTCTCTGCTGTGGAGTCTCACACTAGGATGAAACAGCATCCAGAGCTTATTGGGTCCCAATAGATATTTAACTTGAGTCAGTTCCTGATATTAATAATGATCAAAATCAATCTGCATTTTAATCCTTATGATAAAACCCAATATACTAAGACGTTTTCATTAATACATTGTTTTTATAAATTCAAAAAGAGAAGCAACTTACCGAATAACATCCAAATACCATAACGAACCCAACTAAACCATGAAATCTGAGAAAGAAGTAGTAGATTTAACGTTAATGTCAAACAAGGAAGCCATGGAACCAATGGAATCTGAAAAGTAAGTCCAAGAATACCATTCAACTAATGATTATTTCTGATATATAAATAATAAATATTGAGTTATTCAATAAATCAGATAGTGGTGTCAGATGGTTCTTAACTTAACCAAACACTGTGCAACATGATCGAGTGACAATCTTACATTATTTACAAACAAACTACATGTATATACTTTTTTATTTGAGCTCAAAACATAATTATGAATAAGGATACATATACTACAAATTTTGATTTAACCATAGAATCCAATAGTCGTAACTTGTAAATGTATAGAATATACAACGTCAAAGATGCCAATGTATTGTTTATTATCCCATGTGGTAGATGTCAGATAAAACTAGACACGGAGATAGAATTAAACTAAGATGTTACTGTAATATTAATAATAATATATGTCATTGAGAACTGGTAATTTTTAAGAACAATAGATATTAATAATGTGACTTTTAACTAATCTGATGACTCTTTAATACTTTGTCAAACATGAAATTTTGGCCATATCAATTGTCTTATTCATTTTCATATTTAAATGTTTCATATTACCGCAACAAATAGTTAAAAACCAGATGGGTACATAAAAAGTGGGTTCTGCTTAGTAATTCATAAGTACTTATATGTGTACTTGAAATTGCTTAGAAAAAAGACAAATCGTCTGTTGAATACTGAAAAAAGATCATATCTGAATTTCCGGAAACTAATTACTGTTCATTGATACTGGAGCCAGATATTGTTGACCACACTTAAAACTATACACAAAATTAGTTGTTTTCAAAAAAAATCTATGCTGCATAATATACTCAAATACCTAATAAAATGTTACACCTGTTCTTAGAATTAAAATTTTTAACTAGGGAAGCTTTATTTAATGTAATAGTTGTGTAAAATGAATTTATTATATATAGTTGGAATCATGGGTCAATTGAAGCTAGACCACCATGGAAAACCTGGAAGAAACGGACGGCCGTTTCTTCCTATTGTTGGGCTGACTCCTCAGCAGTGCTCATCCACAATCCCGCCTCATGAGATTCGAACCCAGCACCTAACCACTAGACTACTGAGCCGGCATCCGATGGTATTAATATCTAACTTCAACGAATCCACGAAATTGAGTAACTATTCAACAATGTCTTCAATGAGTTGATATCTCACAACAGACCTGGTTGAACTCCACTGGTTACTGCTCCTCACTAGAACTGCAAGAAATATCTCTTGAAGTCAATCACTACTGATCTCACTAGTGAGCTTCAATTGACTAATGATTTCAACTACATATAAAAAATTACTAAATATCTCCATAAACATCCCCAAAAAATCAATTAGTTTAATGAATTCTTAATGTGGTTGATTTAGGATCCTGTCAATTCCCATCTTAATTACAGACAATTCTAATCTAAATAAGAATACTCGGGCTTCATTTTATGTAATGACCACAGAAATCATGTTCATTAATCCATTATTATTTATAACTCAACAACTTAACTCAAGTCACGAAAATATACTTAACCAAAATCTTGTTATTTATTCATAACTCATAAGGATCAATTTTTTCTGTCAAATTCAGTTTCACGTTCATACCACGGTTATACAATAATGGTTTAACAAGTATTGTGGTGTAGGTTACTTATATCCACATAAGTAATATATAATGATAGTCGAGCATAGAATGTATTTCAGAAGAAGATCGATCACGAAAGAACGGGAACGAAAGGCAATTGGTATGAAAATGCATGAGCAACAATAATCGGAGACGGTGGACTGACATTTGCGGAAGGAACGGTCAAGATTGAGACAATTGATTGATAGTTTGCAAATGAACTGATTACTGTATGGTTGTCAGATTTTAGTGAGATAGTCTGTAATTTTCCGTGTCAAATACATTCTATTGTCACAATTGATTGATCACTGGGTGGTGATCAATGTTATGCGTGTCAAGTCCTTCTTAGTGCTGATCGAATGCTATCGATCAAGTTGCAATGTGGCTACTAGTCTAAGTGGATCGACACTGCATGCACTATGTTGAGATAAGATGGTGGTTGGAGGTGGTCAACAGGAAACCCTGGACCCGGGTTTCGTGCTACTTGGCACTCGTCAGCAAGGTGCACCTGTAATCTTGAGGGAACTTGTGCTCCCTGACATTCTATTGTTTCCACTCGTTTTCTTGTTCACTACAGTATCACACTTTACCATGTGTCGAATATTCTTCATTAGACGAATTATGAAAATGTAGATTAAAAATAAGAAATTATTACCATAATAGATGTATATTGATAAACACTTTCATTTTTCATTTAAAATAATTTTTTAATATGTCTGCATCATTAGAACTACTATAAATGGTTATCATGTTGATATTCAATGTAAACGAGAACACGAGATTGATTTGACTATTCAGTTTTAATTTGAATAAACATCATAGTGACAAAAAAGTTAATATTTTGTTTGACAAATCGATATTAGTTCTCGTACAAAATCACAAGCAATTGTCAACCAATACCATGATCAGAATTTTCAATACAAATGTCAAGACAGTTCTACTGTATGGGGCGGAGACGTGGAGAATTACGAAAGCCGTCATCCAGAAGATACAAGTATTTATTAACAATTGTCTACGCAAAAATACTTCGGATCCGATGGCCAGACACTATCAGCAACAAGTTACTGTGGGAGACAACAAACCAGATTCCAGTGGAGGAAGAAATCAGGAAGAAGCGTTGGAAGTGGATAGGACACACTTTGGGGAAATCATCCAACTGCGTCACAAGACAAGTCCTCACATGGAATCCTGAAGGCTAAAGGAGAAGAGGAAGACCAAAGAACACATTACGCTGAGAAATAGAGACAGATATGAGAAGAATGAACAAAAACTGGATAGAACTAGAAAGGAAGATCCAGGACAGAGTGGGTTGGAGAATGCTGGTCGGCGGCCTATGTTCCATTGGGAGTAACAGGCGTAAGTAAGTAAGTAACAAAATCACTTTCAACATTTTAATTAGGATGTTTCAATAGAAAATATTTTATTAGAAGTATTCATAATAAATAACTTACTCGATATAAATTAGCATCATTTAATTTGAACTGTTCAATAAAACTGATGAAAATGATAGTCAATATGAGTAGTATAATAATAAGTACAATAGCAATGATCTTCATAAATGTTGCTATTCTACCAGTTACTCCAAAGGTTAAACACCCAATCAATGCAATACTCAATATTACATAAACAGATATCAAATAAACAACCATACTACCAGGAACACCAGAATTGATAAATTTTAACATACGATCAGATAAACGAAAACCAATTTTCGATTTTATATATCCTGGTTCGCCAACTCGTTTACTGTAATATGTATTCTGTGGGGCAATAAAGCATGCATAAAGAGAAACCAAAATCGGTATATCACACACACACACCATATATATCATGAGTAGTTTTCAACAAGTACGCTCAGTAACTAAGTAAAAATCTATGCTATTTAGCGATCTACTTTCACTGACCTACAAGAGGACAAAAATTACAATTTATGAAATAATTAACAACCAACTACAATCACTAGCCCTTGTACAATAAATACAGCTCATAGCTTGATACAAAAATCAGTACTTATTTACTGAATTGTATTCATTTCATTCAATATGATACTTAGTGTAATCCTGTCTTCAATACAATCGTTTAGACGAACTTTTTAAACATGTCAACAACTTCGATGAAAAGATCAAGTTCACCAATGAGTTAGAATCTCTTGAATACAAATTACCTTCTCTGGACTGTTTAGTTGAAAGGAAAGATTATAATAGTTTGAGAATTAGTATTTTCCGAAAGCCGACATATTCAGGGAAATTTCTAGATTTTAAGTCAGCACATCCACACTCGACCAAAGTGACAGTGGCCAAAAATATGATCAAAAGAGCTCAAAAAGTTGTCACTGAACCAAACGATATGGAAATGAAAATGGATTTAGTTACATCTACTCTAATGATGAACAATTATCCGAAGAATTTTATTAAAAGAATAATTAAGAATGAAAGAAAAAACGGCATTAACAATAAAAAAGGATTAAAGAAAAAGGAATGGATTAACACAGTGGGGATCCCATTCGGAAAGGTATTTCAGAAGGCATTAGAAGAATCCTAAATATTCAAAATATAAGAGTATTTTTTCGAACAAACAATACTCTAAGATCAAAACTAGTAAGAATTAAAGATCCAATACACAAAGAAGAACAACAGAATTGTATCTATGAAATCAGATGTAGTGACTGTAATGCAACGTATGTAGGTGAAACATCAAGGCAACTGAATGTGAGGGTGAAGGAACACCAACAATGCTTGAAGCACATTCCTAAGTCCTCAGATGATGTAAGGAAACGTGAGAACAAGTTAGTGATAGCATTACACTCGATAGAATCGGGTCATACAATTGATTTCAATGGCACAAGAATCCTTCAAAAAGCTTTCAATTCTTACAAAGGAAGACAAACGGCCGAAGCCCTATACATATGGGCTAATCCAAACAATATTAATAGGGTGGATGGAATATAATTAGCTGTGCCATGGCAGCTAATCATTAATAAATAAAAACCTGAACTCCTTTCCGTTTTATCTATCACGTATTATCTGAGTGACGATTACATTCAATGACTCTAATCAGTTGTCTTATCGGAATTCGTTAAACAATTAATTGAAACATTAAAATAACACAAATATTCAGTTTCAAATTACGCTCTTCCTCTTCGAAATTCACTCTTTTATTTTGTTTATTTATCTTCATTTTATACATGTTGTGACATATATGATTCATATCAGATATTAAAAATTGTATGTTTTCTTAAAAATTCACCGACAGGAGACAGTATATTGTGAATGAAATTTCTCCTCTCACCACGTACGTACACATATACAATATGTGATCTTAGCACTTATCATTTCACATCACAAATCTCTTACACAGTAATACATATACCTAGTTTATACATTTTTAACGCTGATTGGATGACCTATTCAGTATGCAATGAACCGAAGAACCATGTACTACCTATTTATATTCGATAATTTTGATGTTTGATTATAATTCCTTGAAAAAGCTTGAACCAGATTGCCAGGCGAAACGTTGGATTTACTTCAAATTCATTCGCTGAGATTTTACAAATATATATTATTCCTATTTAATGTATTATTTTCTTCATTTAAAATTCAGTAAAACGATTCCATTTAAGTAGATTTTCTATTAACCATTAGTCTATTAATGAATATGAAATACATTAGATAAGTATTTACCTGGTAATTTTCAAAACGTTTCACATCATTATTATATTCATTTATATCTTCATGATTATATGTCTGTGATCGATAACGTACACATAAAACACTGATAGCATTAATACAATAGGCAATTATTGTACCTAAACTTAAAAAACTTGCCAAACTTTGTACAGTAAATATTGTACTGAACAAACATGTGAAAATTATAATGAATATTATTGTCATTAGTGGTCTCTGAATGAAAAAGAGAAAAGAAAGACAGATAAGAATGTTATTATCACATTTACATAGGCTTAATCAACTAGACTGATCCCTGAGAAATAAAACTGTAGATTGAATAGAGATGTTATAAATTAAGTGAATTCTTCTATAAGTACATATTTTGTACAATTGACCCACAAAATGAATTCATGAAAACTATATTTTATAAACCTGAAGGCATGTCGGTCTTATCCTTTGTATGACTGCCCATCCCCATTTATTGTAATGTAATTTTATTTTTTTCCATTTAGACTATTCAAAACATCCTTGGAAGTTTTCTAAAGTTAGAGTGTTCATTTACATTATCATGTCTTGTTTTTAATCAACCGTAATCTTGTAATCTGTACATAGTATTCTGACCATTCACTTTATCTTATTTTTATGACTTGTATAGTTCGTACAACATTACCGGATAGTAATGGATAGCTCTGATAACGAACTCATCCAGCTTTCTATCATATATAGAACACTGAATAAAATATCAATAAGACTTATCAATCTATTCTTTTCATTATTATAAGTGATCTATACAACTATAATTGAAATACTATAGATTTTAAGCAAAAGGTTCTAAAAATAAAATTCACGTCCATATTTCACGTATCAGTTACTAGTACTGACAATTTGAGAAATCTACTCACATTCTCAATGCCTCAGTTGCGATTGTTTACTGCTAAGTAAAGAGACATTTTTGTTTAGTAATTTTAACAAAAGTTAACATTATCAACTAGATTTGATCCGTAAACTTGTTATCTTCAGAAATCTACAAATCATAAGTTCATTTTCTTTGTTTCATGGTAATGGGATTCGCTTGGAGAAGCAGAAATTTTACACTCACTTTCAATGTTAAAACTATATCGTTTGGTATTATGATTGAAAGACATAATAAATTTAAAACTGATTGACCACTGAGTAATGACCAACATCAAATTTCAATCGTCTGTTAAGTGCTGACCAAATTTTATTGATCAAGACGTGACATGGACACCAATTTAAGTAACTCGATTTCTCATGCACTAAGTTTTGATGTTTTATAGTTGAAGAAAGTCGGAAGGAAACCCTATACCTAGGTTTGACACTCACCACCAAGGTTAACCTGAAATAACTGATGCTTTCGGGTGGATCCGATCCTGGGTTGTTCAACTTCATATTCTGAGACGTGACAAACGATTTTACTTTTACAGGAGCTCGGTCAAGGCCAAGATAACTTAGTAGATACTTCTCAGGATATGAAACTGAGGGGTGCGGTATTAACCTCATGCGAGAGCATCAGTCGCATCAAGAACCCAAGTTAAGAGTTTCCTACCAACAGCCCTCAACCATCTAACATGCAAACATATTGTCTACCACATTTTTCTTGATAGATCAATGCACATCAATTATCATTGTAGATTAAAATCTGGCTTCACATATTATCTTATCGCTCGCTGGTGTATATTTTACGTTACATAACTACACAACTTATGGTATTCAGTCTTCATAAGCACATTCGGAGTAATGGTAAAAAAGGAGAAGTAATGAAAGTCTTTTTAATTTAACGCGATTTAATTTGATGGGGATAACGCATGTACGTACAAATATAAAGCGAAATTGCAAATTTACTAAAATAAGTCAGCGTTTTTTGTACACATATCTTTATATCATTAACTTTTCGATTAAAAAATTACCTTGAACGGTCGACAAACACGGGAAAATATGCATGGAATAAAACCATCACGGGCCATAGATAAACAAATATTAATACTGGCCAACATTGGTGATAACAAACTGGTAAGTAATCCAAGTACAAACCCACTGCCAACTAAACAAAACATGAATATTCTTCCGAATTGTGAAGCAGTAGATTCTTTATTATCTTTCAATGCATTTAAAAATGCATTTTCTGCGTCGATATAAAACCATGGATAATATAATGTCAGTGCTAATGCAGATAATGTAGTGACGAGTCCCACGATGAGTATGCTGGTTACACTGGCTACAGGTAAGCTATAAGTAGGACGTTTAACTTCTTGTGCACGTGATAATGGTGAACTGGATCTAAGGAAAGCATTGAAACTAATTGTTGTTGCACCTATCAAACCGAGGATCCCATATGGTAGAAAATCTTTAATATTTGTGGTAATTCCAGGATATATGATGGAATAATGGTTTCTTTTAGCATAGATAAACATATAAATAGTAGCTATCAGTAATGCCCCAACATTAACGGCACTTGAGATCACGGTCAAGACTAAATTTTTACGTAGTCCAAAGCAACAAGATATGCCTAAAATAAGAATCACTATCGTACTGAGGAAATCAGGATATTCTGACAACAGTCCGTTTGGAGATGATAGTCTGTAAAAGTGATTTTTGAAATGAAAAACAAAAAGACAATTTAGCCATATATACTGAAGTTAAAATTTCTTAGAGATGTCATTATTGTGTTTAGTTTGTATTGCAAATTTAGTAAAAATGAGTTGCTTTTTCTAATAAATCGATAGATTTCAATACAAGAATCAACTTTGCGATGATTATTGATGATCCGATGCATGACATGGTAATGATTCGCCTATGTGAAACTATAGATAATCTATATCATAACATTTCACTTTTGCCGAATACACTACTGATTCTTCTACACCGTGAATTCATTCCCACTTAATAGTTAAAAATACTGATGAACGTTTTTTTAAACATTAGAACAGAGCCAAAGCGTATATCTAGAATAGATGGATTATAACTAGAAGTAGAACAAAGAATACAAATTTTGTACTGTTTGGAACTCACCAGCTAAATGTACCTGTATTTCAGTGTTGACATTGTGGTGAAATTCCAACCTACCAATTTCCTCACTGAACTCCGACATCCTATTCATCAGCCTATGTGCTCACTAACTAATAAAACGTTTATAAACGAAATCGTGAATGGGTTATTTCTTGAGCTAAAGAACTGAATACCGAAAGTCTCATTGTCATTAAGAACAAAGTTATCAGCCTCTAATGTTTTCGTGATCTTTTAATGAGACTAACTTGAGTGTCTATCCCAAAAATATCTATCGGTTAAAATGTCTCATTATAAAATACTTCTCGAGACCAGTAAACGTTTCAGTCAAATGAAACCAAACAAAACAACTTGGAAAACAGTCTATAGATTACAAAATCTTTTAGAAATTAAAGAGCAAAATTGTGTAAATCTGAAAACATTATGACAGAAATGAAACAAATCCAGAATCAATATAAACGACACTTATTGTAAAAAACGTCGTCCTCGATCATCTATCCACTTTTTCACTTGTTCTTATTACTTTTGGCTTCTCTCGAACACTAAATTCATCAATAAATCCCAGCACACAACGAACTTTCAGGCTAGACGCTAACCTACAAAAGGCTAAACTTTGGAATACTCGTCGGAATCGACGCCCATTAGCTGTATGAAGACACGGAAGTATATTGCAGTTAAGCAATAAAATGACACCTGTTAGATAAGAAAAATTAACGGGAAAATCGGTGTTTTTTAAAGTCCACTAGTGAGATAAAGAAATAATTAGCTAATCTCTGTCGCCTGAAGTCTCGAAATATGTCCTTCAGTAAAACAGTTTATTCATGCTCACATTTCCAATAAATTTCCTACATTAAACATGTCTAAGAACTTATTAGATGAAGTGTATATCGTCTCTTGTAATAATCATCACTTAAAAGCGTCTAAATCAAGGTTTGTATTACCAGTAGAACTTGAGTTAAACATCCATTTCTTCAGGTGCTGAAGAATTGTCAAAAAACATCACTTATTAGGGCTAAGATATGAAACAAAAATATAATTTCCCATAAAATTTACTTATATTCCTCCTACTTTGAAAAAAATGAACTAAACTGTTTACTGAATTTTGTTCACCACATTACTCTTCAGATAAATATCTTTAAGAATTTCCACTGCCTCAAATATAATTAGTTTTCTCATTGTGGTGGTCTAATGTCGTGGAATGTGACAATATACAATGACTAAATAATATTCAGGATTTTACTTTTTCCTATCGGTTTACTAGGATAACTATTTAATATACATTGCATGTCCACATAATTTGGTTTGGTAACAACTTACGTTTGTCACTTTAGCAATGTCAGTAATATCCTTGAAGATATTTTACAATCTGCCATATTTTCACCACAACTTCACCAGAAAGAACTACATGCTCTTAAAAGTGTATCAATAGTTAATGGATACATTATTCTTTGTTCCTTGTTATTCTTTCATTAAAGTGACATCACTTTCCAACTTCCTGTTCTTACAAGATTTTTAAATTTCGGTCATCTAGTTTTTACTAGAGCTGTAGGGGACTTCAGTTTACACTGAAAAAAGTAAATCATCAATCAACCGAAAATTAACTATAATAGTATCGCTCGTAAAGGAACTGAATTTGTTTGACTAAAGACAGACCATCGCATTATTTACTGTCAGTTATTATAAAGTGACACATACATGTTTATTGATGAGTTAGAAATTTTCTATGATGAAACTACCACCGAAAAGATCATGAAACTCTATGAAAACAATACACAAGTATGTAATTATGTTCATTGTTAACCTCCTTATTTTTATTCGTGATTTTAATGCAAGTTTCTAATCTTATTTACTGACACAATCTGTTCGACTAGCGGTTTAGATCAAAAATCCAGTCTTATCAGGAGTTATCACTTACCACATTGTATCATAGCATACTATTAGTTGACCTGTATTGTATTCAGCAATGTAATAATTCTCAAACTTCACTAAAAATGATCACATCTCGATTCATGACATTATTTTTCTTTACAGTGAACCGAGCGCTAATAGCTAAAAAACAGAATTAACCGCAGTACCAGGAGTAACTTTTGACATACTGTTTAGAACAGAGCTACTACAAAATTATAAACTCCGACACAATCTACCAATTCCTACTTATTTCCTTTAAAATTTGTGTAGATTAATTAACTGCGGAAGTGGATGATTGATAGGACTACTTGAGACTATACACTAATATCAAAAAACTTAGAGAACACATTTTATGTATAAAAATGGTACTCTATGGAACTAGAAATGTTAAAATTCTGAATAACATTGCAACAAACACCGGGAAAAGATTACAACTGATATCGAAACTATCCACTTATTCTGATTCATAGCTTATTTTCATTAGATATTATTATATTTTGACTGTAAATGACTTTCAAAAGCTACCAGGGTATAGTGCAACTGAGTGAAAGAAACCACACCACTTTACCACTTTCGTAAGTACATTTTTAAATGAGTAAATTTTCAATTTCTGACTAAGCCCACAAATTCTTTCGGCTGAAGTTGCACTCTGTAAAGTAGTCGAACTTTTGAGGCGAATATCTCATTGTCATAAAAAAACAGGATCAATAAGTGATACTATTGCGATAACTAAAGTCAGATAAAAAGGTTCATTGTAAAAGGACTTCGATTAGTTAGATCTACTCTGTTTAAATTAAGAAGGGAAGAACTAACACAACTTTACAGGATAAATAAATGATTCGATGAATTTAATAAATAGTATATTCAAGTAGACTAATGAAATGTAATCGAATAACTGAATGGTGCCAACCATATGAAGCAAATCTCAACAAAAAAATGCCTTACATATATGTTCGCTTGTACATTGACGGCTTACGGATTCATGATTAATATCAGGCTTGTATAGTCCATTAAATGATATTTGAATTCTGCCTATCAAGTTTTAGTGTGGACACCAATCTAAGCAGCTCGACGTCGCGTAAACTATATTTTGGTGTAATATAGTCAGAGATAGTTGAAAAGAGACCCTAGACCTAAGTTTCGTGCTGCTTAGCATTCGTCAGCAAGGTGTACCTGGATTCTTGAGGCAACTGCTGTTCACTGGAGAACTCAATCCCATGTCACTTAGCTTTTAACTCTGAGATGTTTTACTTACCTTCCAATTGTGGTGATTATCCACGAACTTGTTCTGTTTCCTGTAAATGTGTCAATTATATTGCTCCAACTACGTGCAACTAGCGATACACTTAGTATGTAATCGACAAACGTTGACCATGCAGTTACGAATGCTGGAAGTTCACCTAGAATGCTGTATGCATGTCCGTGACATGAAACATCCTAAAAAGAATTAAAACCAGTAAATATATATTAAAAGGAATTTTACCTTAAAAATATTTATGTTTCGATAATAAATTCTAAATCGGTAACCCAATCACTAAAAGACACATTTTGTCATTCCCATCAAGAAATGTATTTTAACTATTCGGAAGCCCCACATTAAAATATCAGAGATTAGCCAACCAAAAATTTATAACTTCAAATTTTTCATGTTATTCTTATTCGTAAAACTCCATTTACTGAGAAAACTTCCATTTTCTTTGGAAGGTCTCTTAATAACAGCAATAAAGGAATATTATACTAATGGTTTCTGGTAGTCCTTCATGAAATCAAGTGTTTTTTTTAAGCATTACACATCATGATGACACTTAGTTTATAATAAGAGTTTCAATAAGTAAACAGTTTCTACAAATGTTCGTCATCATACTGATTTCCAGACTAGATTTAAGTGGATGACAATTACTGACATTTCATGTGTTTGTCTTCAAATCCCAGCTAAAATATAGCAATCCAAGTTTTGTCTTTTTCATTCATATCAGTGAACTATTTATTAACTGATTCAGTTGTTGAATCATATTTTTTTCTCAGAGTGACATACAAAGTATGGTAGCTTTTTGATAATTTATATGACAATAAAAAGAAAAAATGTTCAAAATTAAGGGTTAATATTAGCTGTAAATTTCTTCAGTACTATTGTAGTGTGGTCTACTTATATCTATATAAGTAATATATAGTAATGGTCAGGCATAGAATGTATTTCACTAAAAGATTGATAAGGAAAGAACTGGAACAGAACGCAATTGATATGAAAATGCATGAACAATGAAATCAGAGAAGATGGACTGATATTTGAAGAAGGAACAGTTAAGATTGAGACAATTGACTAATAGTTTGCAAATTAACTGTTTCTGTATGATTATCAGAATTTAGTGAGATAGTCTGTAATTTGTGCTTAAATACATTTGATTGTTCTCAACTAGTGTTTTGTTCACTACACTATTACAATTTGCATAACCGAGGTAATGAGATTGATGATCTAGTTTCATGAGTTCTAGTAGATTATTTCTGACTTTCAGTGGGTAAAATTCATATTATTCTAATTATTCTACTTATAAATAACCGTAAAATGTAATGAATATGAATAAAATATATCATATAATAAAGATCTTAAATTTCTTTATTCTTCTTCAATATTCGTCACATTTCTTCCAACACCTACAAAGGTACATTATTAAAGTTACTGATGTTAATATTCAGTACTATCTATAAACGAATCAATAAAGTTTATCCAATCCCTTCCTGCACGTTTGAATCAAGATGAATGTTTCCAGGTACTGAATTTTTATTTACATATATGGTTTTGAAAATTATTTTCTAGTGAATTGAAATATAGTGTACATTGGTATTTTGTTTAGGAAATCAGGATAGACTATCATATTTGCCTATTCTTGTCGTTTTTTATTTCCATCTTTTGAATGCTCCTTCCCAAAACATCTTCACAAACCACGATAAAAGAAACTGAGGTTGCGAGTTTACTGTTCCCACCAAACAAGCAATTGAAAACTCCTTCTGGAACAAATGGTAATAATTTCATCGATTATCTTTAGTAATAGAAAATGAGTCTTAGCAGAGGTACCTACTTCATAGATTGACATAGACTATTCGATTTAATGTCCTTATTACTAAATTCTGACAACTCATACATAATTCCATAACACATGCGACATTCATATAACATTAGGTGTGAAATTAACGGAACAAAACATTTTTTTATGACTTTCAATTTATTTAATTAAAAACTGAGAAAACAATAACTTACTTTTGGAACATGACATGCCAATTCTGAATATATCAAAGAATTTAATATTGCTACAAAAGTAGCGATAATGTAAGCGAGAAAAGCACTCGGTCCAGTTTGTGTGCTTATTACAGAACCAGTAGATACATAGATGCCTCCGTCCAGCATACATGCTGAAATTTATAACATCAGTAACTTTAAGCAGATATAATAATTACGAATGTTATAATCCTTTAAGATGACTTGAAATTATTTGTATATGTGGGTTTTTGTGGAGATGTTTAGTAATTGTTTATTATATATGGTTGAAATCATGAGTCAATTGAAGCTAGACCGCCGTGGAAAACCTGGAAGCACTGGGCGGCCGTTACGTCCTATTTTGGGACTGACTCATCAGCAGTGCGCATCCACGATTGCGCCTCGTCAGATTCGAACCCAGGACCTACCAGTCTCGAGCCAGAGCACTTAATCACTAGACCACTGAGACGGCATATGTATCTGTCAGTTTGTCTATTCATACTAAGTACTGATTTATTCAACTTATATCACTTGTTTTATTAGTCTACGAATCGACAAAGCATCTATATGACCTTTATTTAATCAAGATAAAGCTTATTACACATGTGTTCCTTGGTATAAATAAAGAACAACTCTAGACTAGTATTAAACTAATGACCTAAGGTTAGTGTACAATGTCGTAATATAATACTCGGAATGAAATTTCTTAGAAAAGAATGGGTTCATCAGTTATCAAAGCCTGATAACATCCAATCAGAAAGACGTAACGTTGAAATCTAAGAAAACAAATTGAATTATATTAATCTAAAAATGAATCAAATCACTGTTGATAACTAAAAAGAAAAGGGTTGTAAAAATTCATCCACTAAGATTACTAATGTTGATTTTAACAGATATTGAACTCTTTTAAGGGATTAACGGGATTAATTTACTTTCCTTTCATGGAATTTATCAATAATGTCAAGTTTCTTTACAAATAACTACTTCAAATCTTTATCAGTGAGAAGAATAACCATCATTATGAGTACTAATTATATAATATACTTATACAAGGTAATTTAAGTACAGACAATGCATTTATAAGCATGATCCATGAAACTAATTTGCAGACTCAAAGACTCGAACTAATGACAAACCATTTTTTTTAGAATTAAATCACATTGATTTCATACCCGGCTATCCACATCCATAACTTTACATAAAGCGTTAATAGTAAGAAATTTGAGAGTAAGTATAAAAATAAATATATCACTTTGAAAGAAAACATATAAACCAAAACCTCTTGGTTCGATCACAGATTTGATCAATGCAACTAAACTGTACGGCTTGCCCAGGATAATTTGTTAGTCAAACTATCCACAAGAAAATTCAGAAGCATATAACAAAAATACAATCTGTTGAATGGTATTAATCTCAGTATGAAGCATTAGAACACTTTTTATCGATTCTAATTCATTTAATTGAGAATCCAGGTATACGAGTAAATATGTCTTTTATGTAAAATAGTTCCATTTACTTTTGGAGACTAGTGTTATAGCATCTACATAGTATAGTAACATGTCAAGGAATGAACTCATATTTTCTTTTAAATACCACTAGACTCATTCTGAATTACTCGGAAACAGAAGCCTAGATTCAGCAGATGTTCATCTGTATAATTTCCAGTTCTTTCCTTAACTACTTATAGTCATTCTCTATTTTAAACAATGCGTGGATGTAAGAACTTTTAAGATAGTTAACAAACGATCTGACTAAATCTGACTAAATGTTCAGTGATGAGCAGTTCATGATTTATAGGAAGGGGAAGAAGGATTGAATATGAACAATTATGCGTGGTTTAACTTAACACAGTATGAACTTATGCCAATGATTTATTATAATTTCAACATTTAGAAAGACGATATTTCCAAATATGACTCATATTAACAGCCATAAATTGCATGGACTTTTAACATGTGTTTTTCTACTCATCCTTAAATTGTTTCGCTGACTCAAAATACTGAATCGGAGATGATCGCTAGCCATGAATAAATCTAACCGAAAGATATTACCTACTGCATTTGGTAGCTTGCACTCTACATCCAGTGTCTATGAATAAGGTCCCTTCAATGAATATATTTCCAAGACATCAATATTTTATTTTTCTGGTATGTCAAATAATTTTTAAACTTATCGTATGGTAGTGAAGGGAAATATGATTGGTCACTGAGTGTGGGCAAAAGTTAACTTAATAACCAGAAAATATGTTATTTCCTTTTCTCTTGTTGACTTCTATTCCGGACTCACTGATAGTGACTGCTTTTAGTTGTATGGAACAAAGTACTGTCTAGCGTTACTCTGGTTCTCTATTCCTGATCATGAATCAAGTGTCTGATATAACTTGATCTGATCCGTGTATGGTGGATCGTCTGAGTATTCAATTCAATGATAATATAAACTCGATCCCCAGACCAGCCTTGCTATCAGATTATCGTATTTTCTTAGTGTACCATAGAGAGGGAAAATATTATAAATCACCTGTCATATCAAAATCTTATGGAGATCATTCAATTTATAGTTTACATCAAAAGCTCGATTTAACTAAAATGTATTTTTATTATTCGTGGCAATTATTTATTCGATTTAAAAAAAGCAACATCGAAATAACTAACTTATTCTGATATTTAATTACAGTTAAGATTAAGAACAACAGTGGAACTAATCTATTTTCAATTGTTTTTCAATAACCAATGATATAATCCACATGATGTTGTTTACTTGTATCTTCCCAGTGTTATTTAAGACTGCAATTGATCAGTCTCTTGTTGGCATATGTGTATCTTGTGCGGACTGCCTCGATACTGCCTGGAGTCACAAGCTTTATAAGCAAAGAAAGATAATGGCTAGCAGTAAAATCCAGGATGCGCATTTTGTCCTATTCGGGACTCGTCAGCTGGATGTACCTGCATCTCAAAGTTGATGTTCACTCTAGGACTCGAACCCAACCAACAAACAATACTACGTGAGTTTAAACTTCACCTCATTGCACAAGCAGGTCGCTATCAGGACTCAGTAGCTAAGTGGATAAAGTGATAGCGTTTGAAACGAACGGTGTTGGGTTCGAGTCCCAGGGTGAACATCAACTCTGAGGTGCAGTGCATCCAACTGACGAGTCCCAAACAGGACGAAACGCGCGTCCTGGATTTTACCGCTCGCCACTGTCCATCTTTGCCAATAATATAATCACCTAAAAAATAACCCATCAATCTCAATACACAAAGATCTTAAATATTTTTTAAGTTGCTGGGTTATTATGATTTCATTACATGCCTTACAGATGAATTACAAAGTAATTAATAAGAAAATGTTTTTAAAAAGTCACACCTCCCACTGGTCTTAAGACACATTCTTCAAACTTAGAAATTAGTGATAAGAAAGACTCGATGACGTCATCTATTTGTCAGCTGACTGAAATGCAAACCAGTCATCTAGCAAAAGTATGATGTTGTTTAATCAGGTTTCACTTTGTTCACTCATTAATTTGTCAGACTCATCATTACAATTGCTATTATTATTATTAACAACATCATTACTGAGTTTACAGGAATACAGATCAGTGTCTCTCACTATTTCTGTCGGTTATTACGTCTTTAAATATTCAGTTCACTATTCCGAATTGACACAATCTAGGGAAGAGTTTATAATAACCAGTTATACAAAACTCCGTTATGTAAAAATATTAACAATAAGTACTCCACTGATTAATGTAACTTGCTTATTCACTACATAACAAAAACACATTTAAAAAGGATTAGATTAGTTTTCATTTCCCAATGAAAGAATTAACACTAATTAGATTGAAGAATGATCCTTTTATTTGATCATCCTTTTAATAAAACTGTTTGGTTGACAAACAACAATTAGCAAGACATCATTTTGGTAAAGTTATAAGTAACAGTTACAAATACATATATCTTATACAATGCGATATAAGTTATCAGATTTCAGTGAATTCCCTGCTTAATAATTTTAAAGAAAGAAAGTTAAAGTAGTTCATAACATTGTACAAGACAAATAAAATTAAAAATCTAAACAATAAATAATCATTATAAGCAATCAAAGCTATCTACTCTCCCCCTTCCTCTTTCTTCTGGTGATTGACTGGATTATGAAGGCTTCGACATCTGAGGGAAAATACGAAATACAATAGACATCTAAGAGTAAATTGGATGATTTGGACTTCGCAAATGACCTAGCCCTCCTCTCTCATACACACGAACAAATACAGATGAAAACAGAAAATGTAGCAGCAGCTTCTGCATCGACAGGCCTCCATATTCATAAGGGAAAAAGAGAGATTCTCAAATGCAACACGAAGAACACCAACCCCATCACACTTGATGGCGAAACTCTGGAAGATGTGGTAGCATTCACGTACCTGGGAAGCATCATTGATAAATAAGGAGGATCGGATGCAGATGTAAAGGCGAGGATTGGCAAAGCAAGGGCAGCGTTTCTACAATTTAAGGACATGTGTGACTCAAAACAACTGTCAACTAATTTCAAAATCAGAATCTTCAATAAGAACGTCAAGACTGTCCTACTGTACGGAGCTGAAACATGGAGAATTACTACCTCCATCGTCAAGAAGGTACAAGTATTTATAAACAGTTGTCTACGCAAAATACTCAACATTCACTGGCCGGATATCATCAGCAACAGCGTTTTATGGTAGAGGATAAACCAGCTTCCATCTGAAGAGGAAATTAGAGAAAGACGATGGAAGTGGATCGGACATACATTAAGGAAATCACCAAACTGAATCACGAGGCAATCTTTAACTTGGAATGGTGAAGAGAAGTGAAAAAGAGGAAGGCCAAAGAACACATTACGTCGGTAAATAGAAGTAGATATGAAAAGAATGAATGTCAACTGGAAAGAACTGGAAAGGAAGGCTCAGGACAGAGTTGGATGGGGAATGCTGGACGCGCGTTTCGTCCTATTCGGGACTTGTCAGCTGGATGTACCTGCACCTCAGAATTTATGTCCATTCTGCGACTCGAACCCAACACCGTTCGTTTCAAACGCTATCACTTTATCCACTTAGCCACTGAGTTCTGATACCCATTAGCTTGTGAAACGAATAAATGAATAAACAAAGTGAATAAGTAGTAAT